TTCACTGTTAATCTGCCAATCTAATACATTAAAATTCATTTTTATATGGATCCACAGGCTGCTGTGGAACAATCTCAGGGTCCTTGACAGCAAAAAGATGTAGAACCACTGGCCTACACCTAGTAACAGTTCATTACATTGATGGCAGTGAGTTGCAGCACTTTCAAATGTGTTTGTCTGATTTCCTTCATAGACCAGAGCTGCTTTAGTAAACCAGCTCAGCACTAAACCTTTGTCTGGAGGCTGCCCACGTCACCTGCTGCACCACCATCTATAAAGTTACAGCCGAGGATAAATGATTAAACAGCCGCAAAGTCACATCACGCTTACCTCCACACAAGCAGCATCACACGCACACAAAAACAATCACTTTCCTGGCAGTGTGAGCTGAATGTCAGATATGAACCATTTCAAAATAACATTCCTGATAAGCGCTCAGACGTGCACTCACGCTCCGGGAGGAGAAGTGCGGCTGTCAGCTACTTACACCGGAGAGTCCATGAAAAATACACCGCAGCGCCGCTGGAGTCCGCCGGCGTTTATCCGCAATATGTCGGCAGTGGACGTCCCAGAACTATCCTCACAGGTCGGTTAACACATCAATGTCGGCGCCGTGGTTCTCCCCAGCGACCTGCTCCTCACATGATAGCTGCCGTGAGTGGCTGCCGACCCCCGTGTTGTACACTAGCGTCAAGTCCGACCACAGGACAGAGACTCCACTTCCGGTTAGTTTTTTTTAGAGAATAAAAGTCTCACTAACGACTAGCTAAGTGGTAGTAGAAGATGTTTTTTATTTCTTTCACTGTATGGAGGCTACCTGCTGAGAATCATTTTAGCGACTAGCTAGTGAATATAGTAACTTAGCTTCCTTTATATAAAGGCTAAATGATACATGACTCTGGGTTTTGGCTAACACATGAAATATAGACTTGTTGACCTTTTAGAGCTGGTATTGAAAGATGTCACACCCTTCACACTATAACATAGCCCACTAGCATTAGACTGTTCCTACAGGGAAACTTTGTAGCCAAGCTAGCTAACTAGCTTTCTGTCATCCATATAAATACATGTATAACAATTATAGAGCCAATTCTGATACAATAATTGTCAGTTCAAATTTAAATTAACAGACAGAAAAACATAAGAAGAATTGTTAATTTATGCCAACACAATTTCTATCTAAACTCAATTTTGGTGCAGTAACATTAGTTCCTGTAAAGTAGGCTAATTGTTAATAGTTTATTTACTTAGTTATTTTTGTGTGATTTGTATGACCAATTACGTAAATAAAGTTCTTACAAATAGCCTACAACTGCTATAATACTAAAATTCCCCTGACAGCGAAACTCACCTGCGCATTAGGCCCATCTAAGTCTAGTTTTTACTTTTATTGTGAAAGTAAATTTACCGGCACTGCTTGGTCTGTGTGTGGCCAGCTTGACACAGCTGGAGCCAAATTTGAAAAAGCTGCGCTACCCAGCGCCCCTAAAGAGACATCCAATAGGAGGCCGAGCGTTAAACGTGGCTCGGTGGGAGTTTTCTGTCAGGTGGATTTTCTCAGTCCGCGTTCACAGAGTCACAGAGGATACCAACAGCAAAGCAGACAGAATGTGTCCACATCATAAATCCACCAGGACTTATGGTTGTCAGCAATGCTTCTGAATAGCAAGTGAAATCCCTGGTGATAAAGTACACATAAAACTTGTTAAATCCATAAGAAAATCTAGTATGTGTGAATGTAATCAGGACTGTAATCAGTCACCGGCTCAGCATTTTTTATATTTACCAAAAGCATTTTCTTTGAGGTCAACTCAAAGCTCTCTACTTTTATTGTTGCAGATTCATCTCTCCAGATCCTGCACAGATGTTGAGTCCAGAGGGCTCACTGTCCTACCTCAGTATCGGCTTTGACCAATGCACCGATTGTCTACCAGCTCAGAGGATGCTCTTACTTGGCTGACCTCTGACCTTCCTGTGGAGGGGAAAGACAGCTTTCCAACACACGTCTAACAGTATTGTGTCATTTTATTGTTAAAGAAGTATTTAGTTTCCAGGTTGTTGAATCTCAGGTAATAATGTTCTTCTGACTGAGAGCGTTACTGAATTCATCATTGCTTATGTTAGGCTGCACTTTCTGTGTTTCCCCATTATGGAAACAGTCCCAATACAGCTCAGCTGGGCCTTTCAAGGGACCCCATTAAACATCTCAATTATCTGTTAGAATACTATAATGTTAATGATATTTATTAAGAAATATATATAAGTAACTTGTTTTGTTGGTGTGTTGGGGTGGAAAATGAAACGTGACACTACATGTAGGCCGATGGCCGGATAGTGGCAGCAGCACAAAACACTGGGAAGCAAAAAGCAGGAAAGCACACGCCTGAACATGTAGTAGCTACATAAAAACGGACTTTCTAATTCATCCTTGCCCCCATTCCTGCCACTACCCCCCAACACATAGAAGCTTCTTCTTACCACACCAGCTGCAGGGAGGCGCAGCCTTTTATTGCTCTGTGACAGCTGTCTTCTGAAGGCAGAAGAAAACGGCACTCACGCTGAACACGCTCTCTGTATCTTAGAGAGAGGACAGAGAGCGAGACACTGCAGAGCCACTGCACACCTGACACTGTATTCAATGTATTTTGTCCCATTTACAGAGAGTGAGTGATGCTTCAGTGCCACATTATTGCTGCACCATAGCAGGGGAAGCACCTAGAATGATTAGTGTTTTCATTTGAAATGGCAGTCCTGAGTGGCCACTGAAGGAAAGGCGGGGTCAATTAACCAAAACTAACTGCATGGTGAGTAACCACTAGATAAAAGAGGAAATTGTGTATGGGTTTCATAAGTTGAGTAAACTAACCCTTTAACATTTACAACTGAATGAGCCTCCATGAGCCTTTATGAAAGACTTACTAACATTACTAACTGCAGTATGTTTTATTGTACTAAAAGTATGCGTTGTGGTACAGAATGTGCTCCTGTCTCGTCTGTGTTTGAGTGTCTTTTGTTTATTCCATTCTCATTTTCAACTTTCCAGCTGAGTGTGTCCCTGGGATGTTTTGTCCTGCCCTGCCCTCAGGTGGTGGAGGACTGCTATGACATATCATAACAGAGTACACCGTCTTCATTATCCAAAGAAAAGACGTTTGCCCAGTGACAGTGAGGTCTGGATCATCCAAAGTCATCGTTGATGACGATGATGATGACAGCCATAATAATGATTATAATACTAATACTAGCAGTGGGCGTCAAGCAGGACGAGAGATCCATTAGATCATATAATTCAGATCATATA